GATCTGCCTGTTCTGCTCCCCACTCTGTCTCTGGTGAAGTCTCTCACTGCCCCTGAGTCTCTGGCCTGTACCCCAGTTCTGTATGTACAAATAAATAAATCTTAAAAAAAAAAATAAAAAAAAATGGAGCTTCCATATGACCCAGCAATCCCACTCCTAGTATCTATCCAAAAGACACAAAAACACTGATTCATAAAGACACCTGCACCCTGGCCCTCCCTGGTGGCACAGTGGGTTAAAGCACAGCACTGAGAAGTTAAAGCCATTTCAGCATCAGTTTGATTCCCACCTGCCCTGAAGATGACCACATGACGCGGCAGACCTCTCCTGACCCACCCGCTGATCCCCTCAGTAGGGTACTTCGTCCATCTGCCTGTTCTGCTCCCCACTCTGACTCTGGTGAAGCCTTTCACTGCCCCTGAGCCTCTGGCCTGTACCACATTTCTGTATGCACAAATAAATAAATCTTAAAAAAAAAAAAAAGACACCTGCACCCTATGTTTATTGCTGCTTTATTTGCAATTGGAAAGCCATGGAAACAACCTAAATGTCCAAAAGTAGATGACTGGATTAAAAAGATGTCGTACATATACACAATAGATTATTATTCAGCAACCAAACAAAATAAATAAATAAACACATGCCTTTTACAACAACATGGATGGAGCTTAGTGAAATAACCCAGAAAGAAAAGGGAAAATACCAGATGGTTTCACTCATAGCAGGAGTATAATGGACCAGGCAAGAAAATAATAATGATAAGGAACAATTATATACCAGAGACATTTTATGCAGGTGGAGTGGGGAATGGGATCAAAAATGATGGGGAGAAGGAGGTACACTGGACTATGGTGATGGCACATGGGTGATTTGGTGATGGGAAGCCCATGGGGATTACAACTGAGATGGGAAAAGGCACAAAATAATGTAAAAATAAACTATTATATTATTTAAAAAATAAAGCAGTGAAATAAGGACTATGGGCTTTTCTATTCCTGTGTCTTCACCTTAATTTGTCATCAGCATCCAGAGTCCTGCAACGGAGGTCAGAGAGTAAGGTTAACATCACCTTTGAACAGGCCTGCCAGCTTTGTTCAATGTTTTATTTTTGCAGCATTTCAGAGCAAGCTTTCTTGTAGAATCCTACATAGATTTCCATGTGCTGATTTGTTTCCTCAATCAATTTGATAGGGATTGAGGTATAAATATGTCAAGATTTACTAGAACTCCAAACTCTAGTGTTTCCATTGCTGCAGGATTTTATTTGTAGCCAATCATTGTCTCCATTAAGGAATTGGAAGTTGACACCAATTTTCAATCAAGTAAATCTGTATCTGATGACATGAGATGGTCGTGTCAACCTAAGCTATTTTGCTGTTTTAATAGAGAGGTGGGGCAGGCTGACCCAGGTCTGACCCCGCACAGTATTGCATGCTCACCAAGTTTCAGTAAAAACGCAGGAAAATTCCTTCTTCAGTACAGATTACCCAAGATCTTAAAACACTGGCTCCAGCCCTTGCTCTCCTGGCCACACGTCTCCTTTTGTACTGTAGCCTCAGGGCTGTTACCGCCCACATGCAAGGCAGGGAGATCCAGGTTCTCATGCAATTGGGGGAGAAAGAGAGCTCGTAAAAAAGAAAGAGAGAGAGACTGATGGAGAGAGATTCTCTCTGTCTCTCAGAGAGAGCTCTTTTCACGTAAATGTGTTTATGAGATTAAATTACGGAGTTTCATTCTCTATGTCCCAGGGAAATGTGATTTCTAACTCTTGCATTTAACAGTGTTAAAGTGTTACCCTGACAATGGCTCACGGGTGAACTGGTGATGGGGATTTTACAGGGAATGCACAGTGATGTAAAAGGTATAAATAAAGGCCCTTGCTGGTGGTGCAAGGGGTTAAAGTGCAGCCCTATGAAGCTCTTCCCAGGTATTGCAACATGAGTTCGATCCCCAGCCAAGGAGGTGACCCACATGGTGCAGACCTCTCTTGTCCTGCCTGCTGCAGTGTCTTTTTCCCTCAGCAGTGTGTTTCAGTCCATCTGCCTGTTCTGCTCTCTGCTCTGTCTCTGGTGAATCCTCTCACCCCCTGCACCTCTGGTCTATACCCCAGTTCTTGCATGCATTAAATAAATAAATCTCTTTTAAAAAAAAAAAGTGAGTAAAAAGTAAAGTGGTAGCCTGCAAGCCAGACCCAAAGCACACTGCCCCTTATGTCTGTTGTGTCACGTGAAGTCTCTGCCTGTCAGGCCAGGGGTCGGGAGCTGTGTCAGCCGTGAGGCCACCTGGGAGAAACCAAGCAAGAGGGTCAGTCACCTACCTGGTTTAAACCTGGACACACTCTATGTGTTTAGCATGTATGAATAAGTAATATGTTATTTGTAAGCAGCATAGGACATGCACATTTTGTCTTCCACAAAATAACTCAGAAGCTTTCAGAATCTGCTCTTTCTCCAATCTGGCAATACCAATGTTTCTTTTAGTTTTCATCAAACAGAAGACATGCTACTCACTTTGTTTATATGAAACCTTCCTCCCTCCCCTGGGTTTTGCACCCCACTGCCCCCCCAGGGCATTTGCATATGGGTCCCTAGGGAGGCCCTCCTCTGGCAGGGCTGAGATAAAAGGTCAGCTCCAGACTTGTCTCACCTAAATGGGCAACTCAGTTCATCATTTCAACATGAGGCTCCCTGCTCAGCTTCTGGGGCTGCTGATGCTCTGGACCCCAGGTGAGGCAGAGGGTTAGGGAGAAAGGTAAACAAAGCAGTATTTTGCTTAAACTAGTAACAGAATGAATAGAATGAAAATGATTGATAATACTTGTCTTGTCATTTTTCTTTCCTTTTTTTTTTAGGCTCCAGTGGGGATGTCGTGCTGACCCAGACCCCCCTCTCCCTGGCCGTCGCCCCTGGGGAGCAGGTCTCCATCTCCTGCAGGGCCAGTCAGAGCCTAGTAGATAGTGATGGAGACAGCCTTTTGTACTGGTACCTGCAGAAGCCGGGCCAGTCTCCAAGGCTCCTGATCTATTGGGCTTCCAATAGGGCAACAGGGGTCCCCGACAGGTTCAGTGGCAACGGGTCGGAGACAGATTTCACCCTGAAGATCAGCAGGCTGGAACCTGAGGATGCTGGAGTCTATTACTGCCAGCAGGGTACACATGTTCCTCCCACGGTGGTTGAGCCCCGAACAAAAACCTCCCTCGTGGGTTGTACAGATACCCAAATCAGTTGCTCTGGTCTTGTGAGCAGGCACAGAAGATTCTTTGACTCTCTTTAGAAGAAGATGGAAGAGGATTTGTTCCATCCAATCATAAAAGAACCACCTTGGGCTAAGACTGGAAGCCACTGTTTCCCTCTTGACTGAGAAAGTGCTGGATCTCACACTGACAGCTCATGACACTTTCCAACCTAAGCAGCTGATTCCTCACCAGTGGAGAACTTGAATTTGTTTTTTTGATGATGGTGTGAGCTTGTTACGGAATGGTAGAAATCTATGATGTGGGTGATAGTAGATCTTTTCAGAATGCATACACAGCGTCCTTATTTGATAAGGACACTAACTAGCCAACCCTGAGCTGGATCACTGGCCCAAGTGAGGGTCTCTGGCACAGCTGACTTCAAGCTCTGCCTTTTGCCGTGAATTTGTCAAGCACAGCTGACTTCTTACAAAATAATGGTATAAAGTCCCAGGCATGTGACATGAGTAGAGTTCTGCTCTATAACACATTGTCTATAATTAACAAAGCTGGCTGAGAAGTAGATTTATATTAAGCATCTTAACACACACATACACAGTTCTAGCAACATCAAACACGATGTAAAGAACATTTTGAGGCTGATATTTTTGTCTATTACCTTAACTGTGGTGCTGGTTTTACTAAGTAAGAATTTATCTAACTTATCCCACTGGGTTCATTAATTATGTGTGACCTTTTTGTATATCAATAAAGATAGTTAAAAAAAAAACCCTCAACATCTCTTAGATCAAATCTCAAGCAGAGGGAGACTTATTGTACTCAGTGAGGACACAAAGCCCATTCTCTTGACAAACGCTGGAGTATTTAAATCAATACAAAGTCTCCATCATTTCCATATATTCGTCCTCTGACATCTGGAGTGTCCCTGCCTTGCAGAAATTTTGATCTTGAGATGTAAGAGGAGCAAAATAAACAAGTCAAAAGCAGTGAGAAGATATCTCATCCAGGTCCTTAGGCTTTTGTGCATCTGAATTTCAGGTGAGAATATGAGGGTGAGGTAGAAGATGGGGTGCTAGAGCTATTGCTGATTCATCTTCTCTGGAAATCCTTCCCCAGTGGAAGGGTCGCTTCGGAAACTTTAAAGAATATACTCACCCTAACTAGTGGGGGGGAGGGGTGTCCTCTAGCTAGACTTCGTGCTGCCAACATCTCATGGTGCTTTCAGCCTCCAGGCGTGAGATTGTACTGACACAGATTCCAGCCTCCCTGCCTGGGACTCCAGGGGAGAACGCCACCATCACCTGCTGGACCAACCAGGACCTCAGCACAGGTGCACACCGGTACCTGCAAACCACAGCAGGCTCTCGAGTGACTCGTGAACATGCTCCCCAATCCATCTGGGTCTTGGGGTTCCCATCTCAGTTCAGTGACAATGAATCTGGAACAGACTTTATGCTCACCATCATGACCTTGGAAGCTGAAGACGGAGAACTAACTTAAAGTGAATGGAAAGCACTGAATTATTTTTCCAGTAGCAAAGACTGGGAAGGTTTCCACTTAAATGTTTTTTCCCAGTGTTAGGAAATCAGGAACTAGTCATAGCTGCAAATGAACAGCAGTTTTACATGAGTTCATAGGACAAATTTGGTGCCAGATAATCAATCCTATGTTAGTGGAAGCATAGAAGGAAGTTGTGCAGGGAAGACTATGTGTCAATAGAATTTTAGTGAAAGTCAAATTCCACCGAAAATCAGACAATGCACAGAGGTGGGGCGTGAGACCATTGATTTGTGAGGGTCAGGGAGGACTCTGGGTTCAACTGCAGATGCAGCTGTGTAAGGTGCAGGCAGGCAGTGATGCTGTGACTAAAGAAAACTGTAAAAGCCAGGGACTCTCATGGGGAGCACAGGGACCTGAATGTTTAACCAGTTACTATTTAAAAAAAAAATCTATCTTGTATTTTTGTTTTCAGTTTCAGTATTTTCTAACTGAGCATCAGTGTTTTTCTTTTTCTTTTTTAAAAACATTTATTATTTTATGCATACAGAACTGGAGTACAGGCCATTGGGGCAGGGGTGGTGAGAGGCTTCCACCAGAGACAGAGTGGGGAACAGAACAGGCAGAAGAATGAAGTACACTGCTGAGGGAAGCAGCAGGCAGGTCCGGAGAGGTCTGCTGCGCCATGTGGGTCACCTCCGGGGCAGGCAGGGATCGAACTTGCACTGAAGCAGCTGTGGCTAGCTTGCAGTACTGTGCCCTAACCCGTTGCGCCACCAGGGAGGGCTCTCTCTCTCGTGTTTTAAGGCCAGTTTGTATTGTAAGAACCAGATACCTTCAGCAATTTTATTGCCTAACAGGGTAAAATGATCCATATTATGAATGAGGCAGCTTGGCCTGGGTCACACCTCTGACACAGAAAGTGCTTCTACTGAGAAGCTGGAAGCCCAGATCAGCACCCCATTTTTTTTGCTTTGCTTGTACCCCGAAACCCATGTATGCCCCTAAAGCCCTTATTAGAGGCTGGCCCTGTTGGGCAGGACTCAGCAAGGCAAGTGCAGCCATTGACGCTGGACCCAGAGGCCTCTGGGCCCTGTGCTCACAACAAGTGTGTCCACTTGAGGGGCATGAGCCTCATGGGGCCAGGGAGTAGTGGCCACAGCCCCCATTCCAGGGTGCTGCAGACTCTGGGGTAAACATTAGCTTCATTGTCCCAATAATATTGATGGTTATTAATGTCTAAAACCACATCAGCTAATCTAATAAACGTGAGCAGCTCTACACATTTAGAATAGAATTACACAACATGAGACACTGTCTCTCAATTAGATCAGCTTTATTTTAGGTGCTGACTAACCACTGCGATTCTACCTGTTCTTCTTACGTATGGGTCTCAGAGATGCTCTGGAATGTTTCTGGAAGGAGGGATGAAGCCAGGTTAACAGATCTCGATCAGAAATCTCTGCTTCCTATTCCCCGCCCAACATTAAACTTGAAACCTGCCTGCCTCCTGCCCTCCTTCTCTGACCAAAAGCTCGTCTTTGGCATCTCACTTACCTGGACCCCAGATCCCAACCCTTCACTGTCATGTCGCCAACATCTATTCTGAACTCCTGGCCACGTGTTATTCTTCTGTTCTCACCTAGGTTTCCGGTTTATCGAGACAAGGACTCGTTTTGTGTGCCTACAGAGTCTGCACTGTGACAGTCTAGTTATGGTGTCGGCTTTATGAATAGCAGTGCAAATATAAGCTAGATTCTTCAGGCCTCCACAACGCGTATCCGTGAGCTGTTGTATCAAAAAACTGCCAGTAGAGGGCAGCAAACCCACGTAAGCATATGCCTGGCTGTGTTAGAAATAAATATCGGAAGGGTAAGAGTGGTGTCTTTGTATCCAAGAGGCCCCTAAGCTTGGGTAGTCCCTGGGGTCTTGCGACATCAAGGAGGAGTTCCAGTGTGCTGAGTGTGAGCAAACCTGCCCGATGTCTGTGCCTTGGGATGGAACCTGCGAACCCTCAGTCCGCTTGGCGGTGTCCCCAGAGCCACCCCCACATCTCTGAGCAGGATGAGACGCCAGAGGCACCTTGGGGATGGGCACCCCAGCTTCGTCCCTCTTCTTCCTTCTGTCTTCACTCTGCTGCGGATGGAGGGCACATTTTTCATTAGTCTATTTACTTGAAAACCAGACCAGTATGTCTTTTTAATTCTGATCGTTAGATAAATCTAAGTGCTTGATGTTAGGGGATGTCATTGGTTGCCTCCTAGATGCTGGGGGACACAGTGTGGGTCCAGTCCCCATCCACCCCTGTATCCCCGGGAGAGGGTCTCTGCAGCCTGCAGGACCAGCCAGAGTGTCTGCATCCTCCCAGCCTGAACTCAGCAAAACACTGGACGCTCCTGCTCTCAGATGCTCTTGCTCCCTGGTGCTCCCCTGGGATGATGCCCGGCAGGTCACAGTGGGGGTCTGGATGCTGAGCTTCTCAACAGCACAGGGCAGCAGCCAGCCCCTCCTCCTGTCACTGCTGTGGACACGAATCTCCTACGCGCTGCTCCTGCCTGGCTATGTGGTCTCCAGGACCTCTGGGGTAACAGGGCTGGGGCAGCTCTGCAATCACAGCCCCTTTTCCCTTTTTTTTAATTTAAGATTTATTTACTTATGCATACAGAGCTAGGGTACAGGCCAGAGGTGCAGGGGCAGTGAGAGGATTCACCAGAGACAGAGTGGGGAGCAGAACAGGCGGACTGACAGAGTACACTGCTGAGGGGAGCAGCGGGCAGGTCAGGAGAGGTCTGCCGCGCCATGTGGGTCTTGAACTCATGCTGGGGCGGGGATTGAACTCATGCTGAGGTGGCTTTAGCTTCTCAGTGCTGTGCTTTAACCTGCTGCGCCACCAGGGAGGGCCCCTTTTCCTTTTTTAGTCACTCCTCCATCCCCTCTCCCAGTACATCTCCTTGGCATCCCTGCTTGGAGGGTTCAGTGTGTCTGGTCTCACTTCCTGTTCTGTACCCCCCACCGAACCCCTATGTCATCTGCTGCGGTGCCTCAGAGTCCAGGCCCAGGAGTGTCCCCCCATCCTGCCCTCTCTGTCCTGAGCTTCTGCCTCCTTCAGGAATCCTGCAGGGTCATATTGGGGGGTGGGGATGGGGACGGGATTCACAGCAGGACGTGCTCAGAGGGTGCACGTGGGCAGACACGGCCTTGAGGGCAGCGACCTGGCAGCATGAGGGGCCAAGGGAGCCGGGCAGGGAGACCCCTCCTCACCCGGAGACCGGAGCTGCTACCCTGGGGCCTGGAGGACTTGACGAGGGGGCTCATGCAGGTGCAGGGACACAGCAGAGGCTAGGGGCCCCTGAGGAGTGGGTCTAGGAGGACCTGACCCCAGAGGGGTCCAGGGAGGCGGGGAGGGCGTGAGCTACAGTCCAGGGAGACGGGGTGTGCTGGGGTCTGTGTGAGGACCAGCGCTGGGGAGGGGGAGACTGTCAGCTGTGGGGGGACACACCTGAGCTTGGGGCCGAGGTGGACGTGCTGGGACAGGGCATCAGATGTGGGGGGACACGAGGCTTAGCTGGGGTGAGGCCAGCAGGGAGGGTGCTCAGGGTCTGTGCAGCTAGAACCCCTGGCACCCACACTTTCTGTCGCCCTTCCATCCGAATCACTGTGCCTCTAATTGGCAGTGTTGCTCATTTCTTTGACCAGGAACATCAGGGAGTCAAAGTCAAAAGAAAGTCTCACTAAGCGCAATGAAATATTCTCATAACCACATGAGAGCCGTTTGTTAAAATTTTAGTCATAATCCCGTAAGACCTGTACTATCCGGAGAACAGCAAGGACAGTATGTTGTCAGTATTGAAGAAACCAAAAGAACACTACACTTGCAGGACTGAAGATGAATCTGTGCTGTTTTCTTCAGATAGATTTAACTTCTCTGCAGGGAAATTTTTGCTATTCCAAAGGAAACTGGATTTCTAGAGTTGCCTCTGTGCTCTTCTTGAGATAAACCCACTCAGAGGACTTGGGGCTCCGCCCAGCTGCCCCACCCCACTCATTTGCATCTCCCAGGCCTCAATCCACCTCCTTGGAGACTTATTAGGCTGGTCCCAGCCCCTGAGTGTCAGTCAGGCAGGACCCAGCATGGACATGAGGGCCCCCGCCCAGCTCCTCAGCCTCCTGCTGCTCTGGCTCCCAGGTGAGGAAGGAAACTCAGGAAGGGACCAGCACCGGGGTCAGGGCCCCTGGCCTCAGGGAAGTCCTCTGGTGACAGGGTGAACATTGGGGTGTTTTCTGTTCCCATACAGGGGCCAGGGGTGACATCCTGTTGACCCAGTCCCCACCCTCCGTGTCTGCATCTCCGGGAGACAGAGTCACCATCTCCTGCCGGGCCAGTCAGAGTGTTGGCAACAGTTGGTTACACTGGCACCAGGAGAGACCTGGGCAGGCTCCCAGGCTCCTCATCTATGGTGCATCCAAGAGGCCCAATGGCATTCCAGCCCGCTTCAGCGGCAGCGGGTCTGGGACAGACTTCACGCTCACCATCAGCAGCCTGGAGCCTGAGGATGCCGCCACTTACTACTGTTTGCAGGGTAATAGTTTCCCTCCCACAGTGACACAGGCCTGAACAAAAACCACCCCCACCCAGGGAGCAGCTGTGTGAGGCTGGGCAGCCCAGCCTGCTCCCCCTGGTGCCCCAGCTGCTGAGAGCCCCTCTCAGATATCATCACACTCAGAAACACTGCAGGGTTCTGGTAAAAGGTGTAGGGAGCTGCTTGGCCCAAACCCTCAGTCCCCTCCTCACCCAGCAGTCTGAGAGGACAGTGACTGCTGATTAATAGAGATAGAGATAGGTCATACATCAGTCAGGGGCAGACAGCGGGTGGGAGCCACCTGAGGTGGTTACAGCAAAAACGTTTTTTCATAAGTATTCCTTTACTAGAGCATATTTATGTTCCATCAAAATTTCCCATGATGAAGGGGGTTTCCCACAATACCCCTCCAGTACCAGCACA